AATGTCCCTTCTATTCCTATTTTGCTGAGAGTTTTGATCAGGAATGGGTGTTGGATTTTATCAAATGCCTTTTCTGCATCATTTGTTATGATCATATGGTTCCTCTCCTTTGTTTTATTTATGTGGTGGATGACGTTGATTGTTTTTCTAATGTTGAACTATGGCTGTAAATCTTTACAGAAGTAGATCACCCACATCTTTCTTCCACAGAGCAGCTGGTGGGTTTGAACTACTGACCTTCTGTTTAGCAGCCAGATGCCTTGTTCACTATACCACCAGAGTTCCTAGAAAGCTTTTTGTGTTTTTGTTTTGTTGATTTGGGTGTTACTAGTTATCTAGAGCTGATACTGTGGATGGTTTTAATAAGTAGAAATGTATTTTCTTACAGTTTAGGCAGTTAGAAGTCCAAATCTAGGACACCAGCTCTAGAGGAAGGCTTTGTCTCCATCAGCTCTGGAAGGAGGTCTTTGTCTCCTTTTGACATCTGTGGGCTGGGCATTCCTTGGAGATCTACGTGTATCTTGCCATCAATCTTCCCCTGAGGCCTGTTTTCTAAGGTGTCTTTGGGTGGGTTCAAACTACCAATCTCATGGCTAGGAGTCCTGTGCTTAACCGTGTGCACCACCCAAGAGTCTCCTCATATCAAAGACAAGCCCTTTGTTCCATCCCAAATACTTTCCAATTTTGGAATCCTGTTCTACTGAAGGGAGCTCTGGTGGTGTAGTGCCCAAGGAATTTGACTGTTAACTAGAAGGCTGGTGCTTCAAACCCACCAGCCACTCCTCAGAAGGAAGGTTGGGCAATCTACTTCCATAGTGATACCATCTCAGAAACCCAAAATGTATGGAAATTTTCACAGTTTAAACTGCACTTTCTTTATGATATCAATACCTGTTGACCAAAGAACTTAGCTGCTGGCAAACACTGAGCTACATAAAATGAAGCACAAACAGTTTGTAATATAAGAGCCGGAACAGGATGTTGAGTACCGCAGACTTATAAACTGCTGAGTGGGAGCATCAGTACCAGGCACTATACAGCTTGCATAAAATGTGCTGTTTTTCATGGATGAAGTAGTATCATGTACCAATAATGTACACACTTTGAACTGCTTTTCAAGTAGTGGGAAGTCTATGAGTTGCATAGACCATAAAATTTCTGAAATTTGAAAATACCTGGATAAATTAATGGATATACTATAGGGCACTGAGAGAAGTAAGGTGATCTCAAAGTACTTAAGTACTGCTTTCAGTTTCATTACACAAAGTTTGAAAAAAAAAAATAAGATGCTATGGATGAAAACAAGCACTTAAAATGGTATTTTTACTACCATTCAGATTGATTTAATACATACTTTTCTTATTAAAAGAGATGTAAAGAATTTTATCTATGACTCCAGAGCTATGGGTCTTATGATTTTTCAGTCTCATTATCAATTTTAACTATAGTGTTTTTAGATGCCATGGAGTTGGCCCCCAACTCTTAGCAACCCCATGCAGAAGGAATGAAATGCTAGGGGATTAGAACTTTGTGATCCATAAGGTTTTCTGTTTTTGATTTGGGTGAGATTTTACAAATCAGATTCATTTTGCATTCAACAGCTCATACACATTTGGTTTTGTGACACTCATTACATTTCTCGCAGTGTAACAGCTCTCCTCCATAGGGTTTTCATTAGTTGAAGTTCAGAAGTAGATCACCAGGGCTTTCTTCTGAATTAACTTTAGGGGAATCACATTATAGGAAGAATAGCAGTGGGCCCTTCTTTAACCACACAAGATAAATTCTTACGTGTCTGTCTTTTTCTTTTCATCTTCCAGGGCTCTTAACGTGAGCTGCAGCCTGTCTGTGAGGATTTCCAGTTCCTGGGTCAGTTTGTATTCTTCTCGGAATTGTTCTCCCAACAGGACAAGGTCGCGAGTAGCATCATGAAGAGGGATGTCACTCAAATATAGACCTCTCCTTGTCAAATCATCCAGGTTCATCACACTATTACAGAAAAAGGTGACATAATTAGGCTCAACTGACCTATGTGCCAATACTGAGCCTTATTATTATCAAGGAGTATAATCCTGCCACCTCTTAGCATTCAAAAGCTCAGCCTGGAAAAACATATGGAAAATTATATGAAGAATATGACTTTATTCTTTTAGATTTTTAAAATCTGTAACATAGTAGAGAATTTAAAATGTATTTTTTGCCAAATTGCACTTTTACAGTGACTTCTTCTAAATTTAATGATAATGTAGAAAATGCCCTATGAAACTTATTCAGGGATTTATTTATTATCACATTGTTTTCTTGTTTCTTTTGAAGAAAATTTTCTATCTCAGATAATGATGTTTCTTTTGAGAAATTAGTTATTGTACACTAATGGAATATATGAGTCTTATGACTGAATGGTTTTCCTTTTTAGACATGATGATTAAAAGTTTACAGTAAGATCTATGATCCATCTTCCATACATATTTTATGTATTTAAGACATTCTACGTGTATTTTATGTGTTATTCTTACTTCTAGCTCTAATTGCTTCTACCCCTCTTATTTGTTTTGACTAATTTTTCTCATTTATTTACATTATTTGAGCTTTCTGAATTTTATACATCTTCATAACTTATCTTGTCATTTCTGAACCTAATAATAATGCTTATGAATTCAGTAAAGATCTTATAAGTAAAATGTTGAATGTTTTTTGTTTTTCATTTTACTCTTTGACTAAAATATATTAAGGTTATATTATTTGTTTGACTTCTTTAAATACAAAATAATTACCCCTGGTCATTCACAATAATAATTTCTCCAACAGTACATAATTGAAGTGTTATATTACTGAATAATCTTGGATAAATAAAAGGTCTCTTTGCAATGTAGTCCATAAAGCAAAGCAAGAAATAACATGGTAATATAGAAAAAGGGGAAGGCCCTCAACAAGCTGTATTGATTGACTCAGTGTCTGCAACGATGGGCTCAGGTATAGCAAGGATCATGGGGCTGGCACAGGACTGCTATGAGTTGACGATGACTTGACAGCACACAACAACAACAACAAAATAGAAAAATAATCAAGAAGTTTACCATTGAAGTACATGGATGGTTATAATGATTTTCTTAAAATGGATAGGTAAATAAAGGCTACTTGCAGAAATCAGCATATGTGTAAATAGGGTATATCACTGGCTAACTGGAATAAGACATGCTCATGACAGAAGAAAAAAAAAATTATGTTTAAAATGAAAATAAATGGTTAGAAGAAATGTTTATATTGAATTAGAAAAGTTAATTAAATTATAAATGTCTCATTGTTCTAAATAAATTTATTATTTTTAATGCTCTGTTCCATTTTTTACATTTATCCTAATCATTTTAGAATAATTTATTCATAATTTATACATAAAAATGATTTTAATTGACCTCTAGCTTTATTTATTCAATGTGAGTACAGATCTGTCTGCATGCATGAATAGGTTTTAGAAGACCATCTGAATGTGTTGCTATGTAACCAATTTCTGCACATGGCCCTAAACAAACAGACTACTTTTTTTTTTTTTCTTCTGTTTCCAAAGAAATCTTTGTTGCCAAGGACAAAGATTTTGCCTACTCAGAAGCTGTCATCATACTGAATGTCAACCTGAGAGAGGCAGAAAAAACACTTATTAACAGAAGATGAAGGCATATTTAAATCAATGTAGACTCATAATAATATATATACATATGCATATATATGTTGTTTGTATTCTCTGATTTTAACTCTTTTATTTTTATTACATATTTCTAATGAAAAACATCATTATTGTTATGTAGTTGTAAAACTATGCTAATAATACTAAAGGAGATTGTTATAAAAGATTATTAAAAATTTTTTCAGAAATTTTAAAACAGTATCTTTAAATGAAAAGGAATCATGAAGGATTTTAAATCAAACTTTCAAGCAATAGTCCACAATAACATGACAAAAGTGTGTAACAAAATAATTAGTACATTTTAGCTATACAAAATTATAAATACACAAAGTATCACCTAAAATTTTCATAATTATATTTTTCTAATGATTCTCATAATTAGAAAAATTATTGTAATAAAACATTAGGTATAATTTTGTTATTCTGTTTTCCTGTGTACAATTTAGTAGAATCTTTCTTCCAAGTGGGAAAAGGACTGATCCATAGTTTTTTTTTCCTCCTCTGCTGTTTTTTACAATTATTTTCTATGTTTCAATTTCATAATGTATTTTGAACGTTGTTGTTGTTGTTGTTATGTGCCATCGAGTCAGACCCGACTCATAGCAACCCCTTCTTTGGTTTCTGAGACAGTTATCACTATGGAAGTAGATGGCCCCATCTTCCTTCCAAGGAGTGGCTGGTGGGTTTGAACCGTCAGCCATCTGGTTAGCAGTCAAGTGCCTTAGGCACTACGCTACCAGAGCTCCCTATATTTTGAAAAGTCTGTACTTATTAGGGTACTTTCTGGTAGCACAGTGCCTAAGGCATTTGACTGGTAACCAGAAGGCTGGGTTCAAACCCACCTGCCACTCCTCGGAAGGAAGGTTGGGGCAACCCCTCCTTGGGTTTCTGAGGCAGTATCATGACAGAAGTAGATTGCCCAGCCTTCCTTCTGAGGAGGGGCTAGTGGGTTTGAACTTCTAGTCTTCTGGTTAGCAGTCAAATGCCTTAGGCACACCACTACCAGAGCTCCTGCATTTCAGAATATTTTGATTTAATTTAATAAAATTTTATTGAATTATTTTGTTAGCTAAAAAGGGATAATTATTATAAGTAATCTATAAGTTATTACCTTGGTGAGCACAGAAAAAGTATGCTATCTGCTTCTGGTAAATAGATCATTTGACCCTTGAGACGTAGGCAGCTGATCTCAGTTCCAGTCAGTTCGTCTTCACATTCTAATATCTCTACATCCAACAATCCTTCCTTGAAAAGGCAAGACATGACCATTAGCTAGTGTTTTCACCCAAACCTAACAACTCAGCAAAAAGAAAGGCACACATATTTCATTTCCCACCTAAACAACAGGAGAATACATGTATCAATTAGAACAGGAGATGACATCTCCCCAAAATTCTGCAAGGTAACAAGCATAGTGGCTTATTTTACAAACACTGCACAAAAGTGAATTGACCATCTCCTTTGAACCTAGAAAGACAGTAATTGTGCTTCTGTTCACATATTTATTTAACACCTCTCTGAATCCTTTTCATGATTTTCCATTGTGATTACAAGATATCAAGCCTCTTCATCCCCTACTCCTCCATTCATAGCAGTAGCTGAAAGTATCCATAAATACTTTACATATATATTATACATATACATATATAGTCAACTCCTTCAGCAGGGCTGGAAGAAGGGTGGGATGTGCACTGTAGGCAAATAACTCCTGATATATCTATACAAGAACAGAAACTATGAGACATGGAAGCTGTCTAAATTTAAGGAAGAATAAATCAATGGCTTTATGTGAAGTTTTAAAAAATATCTTCATAATTTTCAAAAATTAGCCATTATAGCTGTACAGGAAGTAAAAGATGGTGATTTTGATATATGAAAGTGGGCTATCACAGCAAGACATTCTCTAAAGCTCACTCTTGTTAGCTCATGTTCAGCTAATGAAGTTCTGTGGCTCCTCATACAAACCAAAAATCAGTAACATTGCCTTTGAAACAGGTCTTCTTCTAAAGCTAGACTTTTATCTCTCTCATATTTTCCATCTCATAGAATTTGATCAGTGTCAGATTATTCAGTAAGCAAAGGAAGCATAGGCTTACTTGTGCTTACTTGCTAATCTGTAGTGAACAATTTCACATTTTTTCACCACATCAAAGATTATGCTTCTGTGTATGGCTGACATCTGTTTCTCTCCTAACCCCCAGTACCTTCCCATAGAATCAAAAGCCTCTTTTCAAATTTATAATCAACAAGGATGGAGTACCCACTAAACAAAGTAAGCATGAGCTTACTCGAGCTTACTTACTAATCTCTAGTGATCAATTTCACATTTTTCACTGCCACTGGATGTGACGGTTGCTAAAGTTCCCTCCTGGTCACGTCTAATTTGTAACATGCTTTACTTACTTACATTTAATGCAATTATGAAATAAATACCTTGCTTCTCAACACAAAAACCGTATTGATGTGTGAGAGGATCCCATGGAAACTAATATCAATATGGGGACGAACCAGAGAGAAGACAGATAACAGGCTGCAATTTCCAGGCTGAAGCTAAAACACAAATGAAAAGGGCACTTCATTAGTTAAAATAATACTTGGGATTTGATATGAATCCTTAGATTCATGTCAATCATTAGATTAAACCAGTTCAATTACATTTAAAAAGAGAAAATTATAATTATTTTTTAGGAAAATTAACTAAAGATTCAAATCTTGACCAATGCAACTCAGTGGTTAAATAGACATAAGCCAGTTGCATGAACATGGAACCTAATACAGATTCTAATGACTAATGTCAAATAGAAGCTAATATAAATTTAAAAAAAAATTCAGAAGAACAAAATTTTATCTTTTAAGATGTAGCATGAGGTATAAAATACTTAAAGTTTAAAATGAAGTTTAAATATAAAAACAACAGCAAAACCTCTCTAAAATTTTATCAAGAAAGGGATGTTGTTATTCTTAGGTGCCATGGAGTCAGTTCTAACTCATGGTGAGCCTATGAACAACAGAACAAAACACTGACCAGTCCTGCACCATCCTTACAACTGTTCCTATGCCTGAGTCCATTGTTGCAGCCACTGTGTCAGTCCATCATGTTGAGGGCCCTCTACTTCAATAAGCATAATATCCTTCTTCAGGGACTGGTCCCTTCTGGTAACATGACCAAAGTAGGAGAGACAAAGTCTGGACATTCTTGCTTCTAAGGAGTATCCTGGCTACACTTATTTCAGGACAGATTTGTTCATTCCTCTGGCAGTTCAGATATTTTCCAATATTCTTTGCCAATACAATTCAAACACATGAAATCTTCTTCAGTCTTCCTTATTCCTTGTCCAGCTTTCACGTGCATATGAGGTGACTGAAAATATCATTATTTGAGTCAGGAGCACCTTAATCCTCAAAGTGACATCTTTGCTCTTTAACACTTTAAAGAGGTCTTTTGTAGCAGATTTGCCCAGTGCAATGCATCGTTTGATTTCTTGACTTCTGCTTCCATGGGCCCTGAGTGTGGATCTCAGTAAAATGCAATCCTTGAAAACATCAATCTTTTCTCCATTTCTTGTGCTGTTGCTTATTGGTCCAGCTTTGAGGATCTTTGTTTCTTTTATATTTAGATGTAATCCATACTGAAAGCTATAGTCTTTGATCTTCATCAGTAAGTGTTTCAAAGAAAGAGTTAAGAATAATAATTATGTTGTTTCTAGTTGTCCTTGAGTTAGCTCCAACTCCTGATTATCTTATGTATGACAGAAGGAAATGTGGCCCTGTCCTATGTCATTCTCACATTTTTTGCTGTGTATGAACCCATTGTTGCAGCCACTGTCAACTATCTCACAGACAGTTTCCCTTGCTTTCGTTGGCTCTCTCCACCGAACATGATATCCCTTCCTAGCCATTGTCTTTCCTGACAACACGTCCAAGGTAAGCTAGTAGAAGTCTTGCCATCATCACTTCTAATGATAGATAATATGTATTGATTGTTTGCAATGTACTAGTCACTGGACTAAGTGGACCTCATGTCCTATCTATCCTCATGTCATAACAAAGGGAAAATAGGTAGAGGGAGGTAAAGTAACACACTTAACATCAGAAAATAAGTAAGTAACAATGCCAGTAATGGAGCCCAAGCAGTATATTATTCTGCTTCCAAATTTATAAGTTTACCTCTGACCTCATCTTGATTCTTGATTACCCCTGCATTGTAAAGTCTAAATGTTAGTAGATGAAATAAAAGAATAAATTAAAAAAAAAAAAAAAAGATTTTACTAATAGGTCTAAATAATACAAGTGAAATATAGGTTTTCTTTATCACCCTAGTGGTTGTCTTCTGGTGCTTTTTGTACTAAACCCATGATAATTTTTGTATTTTTCCTATGTAGTATCATTAGTCTGGTTTTTTGTTTGTTTAAATCCCATCTTTTTCTTGAAAGTGTCAATGGTTGATTTTGGAAGGTATTTTCAGCCAGAGAGGGCAGTGGTGGTGGTAGAATTCTCGCCTTTCATGTGGGAAGCTATTTGATTCCCAGTAAATGCACCTCTTGAGAAGCCACCACTACTTTGTCTATGAATGTTTATGTGTTGCCGCCATGATGGAGTTACTGGACTATGGTAATGGAATTACCAGACTATGGTAATTACTACAGACTATGGTAATTACTATAATAATGGAGTTACTAGACTAATACAGACTAGGAAGAAAGGTCTGGTGATCTACTTTTGAAAATCAGCCAGTGAAAACTTTGTGGATCACATTGTTCATTCTGTTGTGCATGGGGACACCATGAATCAGGGGCTGGCTCAATGGCTGCTAACAACAACAAAGAAAGCCCGTGAGCATTTGCTCAATGACTGAATGAACAAGTGAATGCTGATTATTACTAGAGAGTTACTCATTTTCTCACTAAAACAAACTATTTGTATTTCTAACTAATTTTCCTCCTGTCCCTATAAGGAATTAAAATAGGTAAATAAATAAATAAATAAAAAGCTGTCCCAGAGAAAGTTGAAGCATGCTCAAGCACACCTAACTCACAGTTAAACAATTTATGTGCTATATGTTGTAGTGCATGAAACAGAGTATGTAGTCAAAAGGGTTGAATGAATGTCCATGTGTAACAATGGTGTCTTTATAGCTTTTTATCTCAGGCCCCATGAAAGAATGATGCCATATTACCTGAGGGAGCACTCTGTATATGGCATTGCCACACTGGGTGACCACTAGGTCTCGGTCAAATATTATGTGAAAAGGAAAAGCTTTGCAAAATGTATATGGGCTGATTCGTGATTCCTGGGTACCATTTTCTTCAAATCTATCAAGATCTTCATAAAAATCCTCTTCTTTTGACTCCTTTTCTTCAATTAAAAATTGAGTATGATCACATTCTTCATTTCTTTGTTGAATAACCTTGATGTCAAAAGAAGGAAATAATGTTAACTGTTGGTATTTCAGTTTAGTTAAAATACTTATAGTACCTTAGAAACTGGAGATGAGAGCTGTGTTTAGAGATTTAATTACCAAAATCTAATATACACAAATACTGTAGAACCCACTGCCATCGAGTCAATTCTGACTCATAGTGACCCACAGGGTTTCAAGGCTGTAAGTCCTTATGGAAGTAGTAGATTGCCTCATCTTCTGGACATTGACTTATGAAACTTGAAGACTGAATTGAAAATCTGATATCAGGTGCCCACTACTCCATATGGCTTTTCTGGCAGAATTAGGAAAAACCACTCCCTTGTCTTGATGGGCTCAACCAGCCATGAGGCACGACTGTGCAGTGAACAACTTACACAATCATGCATGGTAGTCCCGTTTAATGATTTAAATGATACTGAAACAGAGAACAATGAAATGAGAGAAATTCGTGTTTTAAAAAACATAATATTATTTTTAATCCATCAATTGGCAAGTGTATAAAATTACAATACCAAATTATGTAAGATATAGAAGGGGCATCTCAAATACCCCTAATGGGACAGTATTTTGGTTACACTTTCTAAAGGATTATTTGATAATACATACTAAAATCCTTAAATAAAAAGTATATTATTTGACTTAATTCCAAACCTAGGAAAGCATTCCAAGGAAGTAATCATAATTGTTGTGTAAAGCACTATAATTTAAAGAAATAACAACATTTCAAATATATTATTCAATGGCAAATACATTGTTATGGCAAAGGAAAGATTCTTTTTCCTTTGAATTTAAGAAATGAAGGCAATATATCCTCTTACAAAAGGAAAAACTCTAACTTAGCTGCAGCCAGATTCAAATGAGGAATGGATAGGGCAATATTTCTTCAGTCACAGCTAAATGAAGATAAAATGTGGCTCAATTTCACTTTTTCAGTTCACTGTTGCACCCTCAGAGGCTTAAAGAACAAAATCAGAGCAAACAACTATGCATGCTATTGTATATCCAAAGATGTATCTATCACCTCATTGTAAAATTAAGGTATCTTTGCAATATAAAATTTTCTCACTAACCTACTACATTGTTATACTTATTTTTCATTTTAAAATTTTGTTACAGTAAAGTGGATTCCTCTATAGCCTCATAGAAAAAAACAGAGTCAACCTTAATATTCAGGCCTAATATTGATGCTCTACTATATTTCCTTTTGATTGAAAAAAAATAATGATATGCAGCTCCAATTTTATTGATTAAGATCTCAAGTTTGCTTTTTTGCTTTGATCAAACTGACAAAGCAAATTTTTCTTCTGATTCTATTTTTAATTTTTCATTGGTGATCACCTCAGAACATAAACTAATATTTCCTGTATGGTTCATATTATCCTTCAGCTCTGCACTTGATGTATTTGACATAAAGATACTTTAGGAAGACAAGAGTTCCTTTGAAAAAATTAAAAAAGTACAAACAAAGTATAATTTAAAAATGTAAATATTTCAGAAGTCTTTATTGGGCCACTTGAATAAATAAAAGCCACAAGAGAACTTAAATATAGTAAAATGTGAACGACATAGTTAACAACAATTTGAGTTTTATATAGAGTGTACTAATGCCAGCAACATCCCAAGTCTAAGACTAATTTAAACTCTAATAAGCAAGTACAGTTTCCAAGCAAGTCCATATTGTGTTTCTGCTCCGAAGTTTCTATGTACTGGATTCTTGCTCAGCTTGGATAAACAAAAAACAAATGTAAAAATACACCTAGTGTGTATATATCCCCTGATACATTCTCATTCAGCATAGATGAAATAATAGCTTGCTGCCAGGATCAAAAGATTGGAAATGACAAACATTAATATTTTGATTGAATTCTGAGATTCACAACCACTGATGAGTTTCAATATTTTATCCAATGCTTTAATTTAAAAATATTTCTGGATCTGTTGGTGTCATTTTACACATAGGCCTACTTTCCAGTTATGGAGAAATTAATGACACACCTGAGAGTCACCAACAATTGCCAAATAAGGACAATGACACCAATTCCTGAGCAAACAACAACTATGAAATCTAGTGTGACTTTACTAGATAAAATATATGTGATACTTTTCTAATACAAAACATTTAAATATTATAAATTTTATTTTGAATTATACTCTATCATAAGAGTTTTGGACTTTACATACAAGCTTGAACATATCTATGGTATCCAAGAAAGTACCACCTATTAGATTTTCCATAAAGACAGAAAGCTGAAAGGATATCTCCCACTTCCCACTTTGCTCATCCTTAGAGTCAATACAAAATGGCTATAGGGGCTAAACATACTAAGCTCATAAAAAGCAGCTGGGTGGTATATCTTTATGGAAACAGATTGCCCTGTCTTCCTTCCATGGAGTGGCTGGTGGGGCTGAACTGCCAACTGTCTGACTAGCAGTCAAATGTCTTAGGCATTGTGCTATCAGAACTCCTTCTGGGAAACACTGGGCTATACACACACACACACACACACACATATGTACATATATATGGGTATATATATGTGTATATATATATGTGTGTATATATATATATATGAATAACATATGATTGAATGAGTAATATATATATAATATAGAAAAACAATGTAACTCTGTTACACAGATGTACACAGATGCTTTGAAATTATCACTCTACCCTACCAAAAAAGAACCAAACTCATTGCCTTTGAGTCAGTTCTGACTCACAGCAACCCCTCCTTGGGTTTCCAAGGCAGTATCTCTATGGAAGTAGATTGCCCAGTTTTCCTTCTGAGGGGTGGCTGGTGGGTTTGAACCACCAGCCTTCTGGTTAGCAGTCAAATGTCTTAGGCATGTTACCAATGCTGTTGTTGCTAGTTGCCATCAAGTTAATTCTGACTCATGGAGACTCCATGTGTGCATAGTACAGCTGTACCATGCAGGGCTTCCAAAGCTGTGACCTTTGGCAGCAGAACACCAGACCTTTCTTCTGAGACACCTCTGGGTGGGTTTGAAATGCCAACCTTTCAGTTAGCAGTCAGCCCAGTGTTTAACCATTTGTTCTACTCAGGACTCTTATATTACCATCAATAGCAACAGAATTTTTAGTTGAACAGCTGACTCCTTAACCAAAGTAACTTTATTTATTTAAAAAAAGGGGGGGGGGGACTTTTAGTTCATAAAATGAAGCATTCCAATTCTTGTCAGGGGCAAACAAAATATTCACAAAGAAACAATAATAAAATAATATCTTAGATTATTTTAGATTTTGACTATACATATTAGTGTTTTTTTTATATTCTAAAGTCAGTAGCTCAGCCAGTCACATACCCTCTTGCTTCCTAGCTAGTGTGAGTTTACAGAGAACGCAAACTCAATTTTATGTTGACTTAAGCTATTAACTAGGAAGAAAAAGAAAAATAACAAAGAAAAAAAAAAAGAAAAATACTGTATAATGCATTCCAAGGCCAAATATAGAACATTTCTGGTGTTTCCATTTTAATGGCTTATGTATACCTCTGGTGAATTCCTAAGCAAAGATGACTAAGGACAAATGAACATCACATCATTTTTAATATTCTAAATGCCATCTTTGTTCAGCAGAGTCTCCACTATAGGTCATTACCTTCATGTCTATTTCAGTGCCGTGTATTTGCTGAGCTACGGTTTTAATGATTCCAATGACAATATCCTGAAGTCCTTCTCTCTCTGAATAGTAGTGCAGAATGAGTCCTTTTCCCTTGTCTGCATCTGTACACCTAAAGGAAGGTGCACGCATTCCTGGGTAGATAGTAGCAAGGTGGTCATGCAGAGCATCAAGGTTCTGCAATGAAAAGGAAATGGTAATGAATAACTAATATAAATAATGCATAATGCTTCCACAATGACAGCTTGATACAGGAAAGCAAGATATAGAACCAAGACTCAAACCTGAGCTTTTTTGACAGATTGGCTGAGTAAATAGTCACATAGCACATCATTTTCTTGCTTCACTGAGATATCTGTAAAGCAAGAACCTCAGAGAAATTAAAACTACAATAGAATGATTAAAAAAAAAAAACTGTGGCTATTAATAGCTAATATCTATTAAAATAGGATAAATAAGTACAATACAAAACAAATGACTAAAGCAGAAAAAAGAAATAATGTTTTTCATAGTTAAGGGCTAAATATCTGGATATTTGTAAGTTTGTGGCAGCTATGTATGCAGGTCATAATAACCAAAATAAAAGGAGCTCTGGTAGCACAGTGCCTAAGGCACTTGACTGCTAACCAGAAGGCTGGCGGTTCAAACCCAACAGCCACTCCTCGGAACCAAGGTTGGGCAATCCTACTTCCGTAGTGATACTGCCTCGGAAACCCAAGGAGGGGTCGCTATGAGTCAGGGCTGACTCGACGACAAATAACAACAACAACAACAACAACACCCCAATTACAGTTCTGTTTATACTGATCCTAAAAGTTAATTATGAACTTTAAAAACTGAATCAGAGTTATAAGCATAAGGAAAATGTTTGATTTGCTTTCATGAAGTAATATTTCAGAAATTAAAAACACATTTTTAAAATAAAACTCTTATACTTTCTTCATGCTCATTAACAGTCTTCAAAGTGTAGCTTCATGACTACCTGTGAAATTGAAGATCTTAGAAAATTAATAGATTTTCCAATAAATATTTTATATTCTCATAGCTTTGACATAAATTTAGAACATGCCCAAATTCTCTTCAGCATCCTGTATTACTCTTTAACATGCAAGACTGATTTGTGTAAGGATCACCAGAAATAATGATGGAAAATGTACTTTTTACTTGGTCTAACATGATCTTCCAAGTAACATTTAGTTAACTGTGTGTGTGTGTATGTGTGTATATATGCTGTACATGTATGATAGGATACACACACAGCACAGCATGGTGTAGGGTTTAAGATCAAAGTGACTAAAGTCAAATAGAATGGGTTTAAATCATAACAATATAATTTCCTAGTAATGTAACCAATGAACCCACCTTTTCTAAAACTTGATTTCTTCTGATAATATGGAGATAACAAAAATGATGTATATAAAGCACTTAGCACATGCCAAGTGTAATAGGTAGAATAATGGTTCCCCAAAGACACTCACACCCTAAACCCCCACCCCCCAAAAAAGAAAAAACTAAACTCACTGACGTGGAGTCGTATTTGACTCATAGCAACCCCTCCTTGTATTTTCAAGGTGGTAACACTACAAAAGTAGATTGCCCAATCTTCCTTCTGAGGAGTGGCTGGTGGGTTTGAACCGCCAGCCTTCTGTTTAGCAGTCAAATTCCTTAGGGGCTATGCCACCAGAGCTCCAGGGCCTAATCCCTAGAACCTGTGAATATATTACCTCATATGACAAAAGGTATTTTGCGAATATAATTAGAGTTATAGATCTTGAGTTGGGAAAATTACCCTGGATTATCTGGGTGGACTCAGTCTAATCACAAATCCTTGAATCCTTAAAAGATGAGAACTTTTTCTGGCTACAGAGAGAGAGAGAAATGCAGTGGTGGAAGGTCAGACAGATGGCAGTGTAACAAGGATACAATGTCCTGCTATTGTTTCTGAGACATATGAGATTATATGTAAGGACTGGAGTGAGTTGACTACTAGCAGCTAAGAGCAGCCCCCAGCTGACAAGCAAGGAAACCTGAACCTCAGTCTTAGAACCACACAGAACTGAATTCTCCCAACACTGGATGAGCAAGAAAACTGATTATCCTCTAGAATCTACATAAAGGAACACAGCCCTGCTTGTTGTTGTTGTTGTTAAGTGCCGTCGAGTCGTTTCCGACTCATAGCGACCCCATGCACAGCAGAACGAAACACTGCCCGATCCCGCGCCAGCCCCACAATCCCTGCTATACTCGAGCCCATCATCGCAGCCACTGCTAGGCCTTGAATTATAGTACCATGACTCTTGCAATGGATTTTTGATCTACAAAACTGCAAGATAATAAATTTGCATTGTTTCAACCACTACATTTAAAATACTATTATGGAAGCAGGAGGAAACTAATGCACCAAGCAAATAGTAATCTATCAATAACTTATAATTGTTGTTAAAGAAGAAACAAGTTACAGAATCCTCTGTGTATAAAAGAATGTATCTAAAAGAAAGTTCTGGAGATACATCAAACTGAACTATAGCTTTAGTCCCACATGTCTCAAAGAGTTTGTCAATTTAGGAAAAGAGAAATATCAAGTAAGATATCAGGAAGAAACTGGAGACAATATGACATCACACTGTCAATGGCCAGAGTCAAGCAATATTTTACCAGGACATCTATGGCACTAATTTTCTACCTCCTCTGTTCATTCATTACTTCCAACCATTCACTCATTCTTTAAAGTTATTACATATCCATTATATATCAGGCACTGTATGTGGTTCAGAAGCTCTTGTGATGCAGTAGTTAAGGCATTCGGCTGCTAACCAAAAGGTCAGTGGTTCAACCCACCAGCCACTTCATGGGAGAAAAATGAGACAGTCTGCTTCCCTAAATGTTTACAGCATTAGAAACTCTATAGGGGTTGGTATGAGTTGGAAATGATTCAATGACAGTGGGGTTTTTTGTTTGTTTGGTTGGTTTTTGGTTTGATTTTGGTATGTGTTTCAGGTTACAGTCAGGATAGAGGATTAGAGACATATCTGCATGACACAGACCTTGACTTTAGCAGCCCAGAGTCTATATCACAAACAGATGTGCAAAGTTACTTTTGATGAACAAATAGGGAGCCAAGAATTCAAACTGAAATAATGAGTAAAAAAGAATGTCAAAGTGAAGACAAGACCTCAGCTAGGTCATTAAGGTTGACAATCTGATCAAGATTGATGCTTCATTGGTCTCCTAAATTGGATAAATCTGGTTTATTTTAATAAAAAATGTTTTGTGCCTTCTTCTTATAAATTTCACCTGTTACGATAATTGAGTCAGGCTAGTTCTTAACAAAAACATCATCTTGATTGCCACTAGAAGCTATCAGTGCATAAAAACAATCCAATATGTCAGACACCATCTGGATATTAGATATTTTATTTAACCTACAAGCTCCTGAGGTCCTAAAAACATTGCATGTGTTTGAGTGGAATGTGAGGTTCCTCCTGTGACAAGTTTTTCTCATGGGAATTCTTCCCCAATGAGGGCAGATCTGAGAACCACTCTTCATAACTCTTTTAGATCACTTACACTTTCACTGATGTTGAATAAAATTTCCTAATATACTCAGGCCCAGTTTCTGTGTGTGGCTCACTAAACAGAGGGAAATTGTAATGAAACCATGACTTGAAATATACATATATTTTACAAAAGTTTTTTCTCTAAAGAATGTTAACATATTTCATAAATTATACCTATGTCAATTTCATACTCATCTATCTCATGTTGTATCATATTTTTTAAACTCTTTTTAGCACATTTCTACATGAAGCCCAATGGAGAGCATGATGCAGAAACTATTAGCATCATTTATGTTATCATTTATGTGAGGCTTGTTGTTGTTGTTGTTGTTGTTGTGTGCCGTCGAGTCGGCCCCGACTCATAGCGACCCCTCCTTGGGTTTCCGAGGCAGTATCACTACGGAAGTAGGATTGCTCAACCTTCCTTCCGAGGAGTGGCTGGTGGGTTTGAACCTCCAGCCTTCTGGTTAGCTTAGGTGGTGTAAATGGTTAAGCACTCAGTTGTTAATTTAAAGGTTGGCAGTTCAAGTCCACCCAGAGACAGCTAAGAAAGGCCTGGAGATCTACTTCCAATAATCACTGAAAACTCTATGAAAACTGTTCTCCTCTGACACACAGAGGTTGCCATGAAATGAAATAGACTTGGTCCAAAGGTGGTACAGTTGGTGTGGTGCATGGCTTTTCCTAAGGCAGGACAAAATGACGGGCCATAATGACCCAAGACCATACTGCCATGAGTCACACAAATGTAGAACCATTTTTAATTGAAATGAAGATAATAATAATTAAAGGTGTTAATATAGATGAATAAAATTTCATTTAAATGTATCATTTAAAAATAAGTTAGATGCCAGAAAAAAAAAAAAAAAAAACTAAGTCAGATGTTCACCTTATTTTCTTGTGGTAAACAATTCCCCAGAGATTTATTGTTTTTACTGAATTGACTATTAATTAAATGGACAAGAAAAAAGCTTGATGAGGCAAAAAATATTTAACACTGCTTAATGGAACATTGATTTTCTTTCGATAGTACCTGATATAAAAAATATCTCTTGGGATTTCTTTAGTTAAAGATTTCCTTACTTGGCTTTGCTCTCTCAAAAGTAAAGTCATTACCACAGTCTGCCCATTATGAGAAATGGAATTCATGATTAAAAATTAAAGAATTTTCATTTCATTACATTTATACTGCTAATAAATGTGCCTTCTTCATGGTCAGACTATAATTGGTTGCAGCAACCTCAAAGGCCACATACACTGAAAAGTTCTCAAAATAGCAAAATAAGATTTTCTCCACATTTTATAATAATCTGTCTACCAAGTCAATAATTCATCCACTAGGCTATAGCAATATATTCTGGCTATTGAAAGTTGCATATTAAAATTGATACTCTATTTTATTTCTGAATGTATCCAAGCAAGTAGATCTAGAAAGAAAGGATCCACATAGCTGATTACAAAGAATATATAAACATGAATGAAAGCCAAAGAGACATAGGGAAAATATAAAGACATATATTTCAGTATAACTAGATTTCCAGGAAACAATGAAGCAAATGTCAAATATTATCTTACTTCATTCTTAGCATTATAAAATTAGAAAACAAGAAATGGATAGGG